AAACGTAGGGCTAGGGAAGAACTGCCCAGAGATTCTTCTTGTCGAAATGCGGATCAGAATGATGGTAGCGAAAACAAGGAGGTCACTACTCCTAAACGAACTCGAGTAGTAGGTAATAGCCTTGGTAGACGCGTGCATTTTTCGTCTGTTGCTGCTGTTTCTGTTTTTAATCCGAAGGATNTTTCAACCGCACTAAGACTGACGTCTTTTCATTGGTCAGCCGGTTAGCGCGGTCGATGCTACTAATAATAAAAAAAAAACAACACACACACACACACACAGAACATCTCGCCAACAGCAAGGGCTGGGCCGTGAAAGGGAGCAAACCGGTGTCACCACGCCGTTGATTTTGATTTTCGTGTTGCCTAGCTAGGTAGAACCTTGAAAGAAGTTGCATCACTCAGAAAAATACTTACTCTCTGCTACGTCGTAACAGCAGTTAGTCAATCGGACCACATAGGCTAGAGATGACGTCAGTTCAGTGTGGGTGGTGTGCAAACGACGGTTGGTTTGGCGTGCGACATGTATGTTTGTTCGCCAAGCAAACGAACGTCTGATAGCTATCGGAGGATGACCCGCTAACAACGGATTTTATCTTGGTCGTGTGTAAAATGTTTATTGAACGCGACGGTGACCGCGAGAGGTGCTTTTTTTTCCAAACGCGAATGAATCTTGGTTGCTTTTGGCGTGCAATCCTCGTTGTCCTCCCCTCTTTGCATCATCACAGCTAGCTGCTTTGGATTGGCAAAGGGATTGTTGCTCTGCTGTGTTTTCAAGGTTAAGCGTTGGTGTGTTTCTCTCAAAAGGTGTGCCGCAGATTCACTTGGGCGTTCATTCTGGCCTTCTCAAAATTCGAAAAAGTGAGCCATTCCCGGGGTCTTGGAATACAGTAGCGGCTACGGTTTAAGAGAGGGTCGGTACAAGCCAATTTCACTCTCTTAAATCCGGCTTTCTGTTATATCGTGTTGGCTACGGTATAAGAGAGAATCCTCTTAAACAGTATCTCGCTATAAGAGAATATTCTCTTATATCGTAGCCAAAACTAAAGGTCGTGAAACAGGGACTCTCGCGCACTGACTACACTCGAATGCCAAAATAGGTCATGAAAAGAGCGTATCATGCATGTCACTTGCGCAGCTAGCGTTACCACGTCGGGCTACCTCCAAACACGGCTCATTCTCTTGGTTGGCAAGCACGTGGACCCAAGTACTGCTGTACGTGGTACGCTTTTGGTGGATCTGCGTTCGGAAAATAAATCATCGTTGTGTGATGCGATGCACATTTTGCACGTGGACACGTAAAAGGTTTTTGGTTGAGTTGTTTTATAGCTGTGTTTCATAGTCGCACCTCTTCTAGAAGGACAACACGAGGCAACGAATGCACCAGCACTCAAGAACGACGCACCCGTTTACACAATGCACCCCTTCCTCCCACCGTACCCTCAACATAACACCCTCATACCTCTCATCCCATCGATTTAAACCCCCGACAAAAACACAAGTCAACGAAAAAAAA